CCTGATGGAACAGGAGAAGAGTGGGGTACAGAACTCAAATTCTAGTAAAAAGACCAGACTTAATGGTTTGATTGAGACTGGAGGGAACCCAGAAGACATGGCCCCCGGACTCTCTGTTAGCCTAAAACTAAAACCATTCCCAAGGCCAACTCTTCAGACAAAGATTAGACTAGACTGTGGGACATAAAATAATACTCACGGAGAGTGTGCTTCTTAGCTCAAGTAGATACATGAGACTAAATGGGCAGCTCCTGTCCGGAGGCACGATGAGAAGGCAAAGAGGGTCAGGAGCTGATTGAATGGACACAGGAAATCCGGGGTGGAAAGGAGGAGTGTGCTGGCACAGTATAGGGAGAGCAACTAGGGTCACATAACAATGTGTGTATAAATTTTTGTATAAGAGACTAACTTGAATTGTAAACTTTCACTTAAAGCACAATAAAAAAAAGAAAAAGAAAACAGGAAATGCACAGGGAACCTGGGGTAGAAAGGGGACGTGTGCTGTCACATTGTGGGGATTGCAATTAATGTCACAAAACAATATGTGTATGAATTTTTGAATGAGAAATTAACTTGAACTGTAAGCTTCCACCTAAAGCACAATTAAAATAAATAAATACAAAAGAAAAGAGGAAATAATATAGAATGGGAAAAAATGGAAAATACTGGTGATTCATAGTATTCAAATGGAAATACTGTGAGCAAATAATCCAAGAAGCTGGACTGTCTGAGGAAGAACTTGGCATCAGGATTGGTGAAAGACTCATTAACCACCTGCAATATGTAGATGACACAACCTTGCTTGCTGAAACCGAAGAGGGCATGAAGCACTTAATGATGAAGAGCAAAGACTACAGCCTTCGGTATGGATTATACCTCAACATAAAGAAAACAAAAATCCTCACAACTGGACCAATAAGCAACATCATGGTAAATGGAGAAAATATTGAAGTTGTCAAGGGAATTCATTTTAGTTGGATCCATAATCAATGCCCATGGAAGCAGCAGTCAAGAAATCAAATGTTGTATTGCATTGGCCAAATCTGCTGCAGCTGCAAAAGACCTCTTTAAAGTGTCGAAAAGCAAAAATGTCACTTTGAGGACTAAGATGCGCCTGACCCAAGCCAGGGTGTTTTCAGTCACGTCATCTGCATGCAAAAGCTGGACAATGAATAAGGAAGACCAAAGAAGAATTGATGCCTCTGAATTATGGTGTTGGCAAAGAATATACCATGGATTGCTGGAAGAATGAACAAGTCTGTCTTGGAAGAAGTACAGCCAGAGTGCTCCTTGGAAGGGAGGATGG